GCGTGTCATAGCTTACTTCAGCAAGACGCTGAACAAAGCAGAGAGAAACTACTGCGTAACCCGACGAGAACTACTTGCCATAGTGAGGACGCTGGAACATTTCCACAAATACCTCTACGGACAACAGTTCCATCTGCGAACGGACCACTCTGCGCTTACCTGGCTTATGAGTTTCAAGAACTTAGTAGGACAAACTGCGCGTTGGATACAGCATCTTCAGGAGCACAACTTTACTTCGGAGCATCGTCAGGCCGAAGACATAACAACGCTGACGCCCTTTCTAGACGACCCTGCAAAGAGCAATGTGCGCACTGCCACAAAGTTGAGACGCAGGCAGAGGTACAGCAAATACGTGTTATTGGAACCCCACCGGCAGCCGGCTGGGACCGTTACCCTGAGAGAGGAACAGCTAAAAGACCCAGATATAGGGCCTATTCTACGGGAAGTAGAAAACGGCCAACGACCGAAATGGCAGAACATTGCCGGAGTCCCACATACAAAAGCTACTGGGCCCAGTGGAAATCGCTCGCTGTGAGAAGCGGCGTACTAGAGCACGACTGGGAATCCGCCACCGGAAGACGTCAAGTAGCCCAGATAATTATTCCTCGGAGCAGGGTGAAGGACGTTCTGAGCGAACTACACGGTGGACCGTCACGAGGTCACTTTGGTGTCAACAAAACTCTGAATAAGGTTCGGCAGAGATTCTACTGGCTCCAAGCAAGAACCGATATTGAGAAATGGTGTTGACAGTGTGACACATGTGCAGCCAGTCGGGGACCGCAGACCAGGAATCGGGGACAAATGCACCAGTATAATGTCGGGGCTCCCTTCGAGACAGTAGCCATTGATATCGCAGGGCCCTTCCCACGAAGTGACCAAGGAAACCGATACTTACTGATCGCTATGGACTACTTCACCAAGTGGCCAGAAGTGTACGCCATCCCGAATCAGGAGGCTTCAACAATAGCGGAAGTTCTGGTTGCCAATTTCTTCTGCCGCTTCGGCATACCTTGGGAGTTGCACAGTGACCAAGGCCGTAACTTCGAGTCTCATCTACTGAAAGAAGTTTTGCAACACCTGGGAGTAAGCAAGACGCGCACCACACCCCTGCACCCACAGTCGGATGGAATGGTGGAACGCTACGTCAAGACCATCGAGGAGCACTTGCGGAAGGTCGTCAGATCGCACCGAAGGGACTGGGATGAGAGGGTACCCCTCTTTCTCCTAGCTTACAGGGCATCCACTCACAACACTACGGGCCTGACCCCTGCTGGCCTAGTGTTCGGACGAGAAGTACGACTACCTTGCGACCTGCTCTTTGGAGTACCCCCAGACAAAGAACAACCCACAACCGATTATGCAGCAGACTTGGTGGATCATCTGCACGACATCCACAATTATGCCCGGCAACACCTGAAGCTTGCCAGTGACCAGATGAAAACTACGTACGATAAACTGGCCAACTCCGCAGGTTACGACGAAGGCGACAGAGTCTGGCTCTATCGCCCAACCGCAGAAAGGGGAAATCGTCGAAAGTACAAGCATCATGGGAGGGTCCTTACAAAGTAGTGACCCGGATAAATGATGTGGTATACCGAATCCAGAAGACCCCTAGGTCGAGGATGTTGTCTGTATACCTCGACCGGTTCGCGCCTTATCATGGAGCTGCTCAAGACGAGCAACCATAAAAAGGGGGAAGATGCAGCGGTTGGAAAGCGGAGCAACAGGGAGAACAGAAACGGTAGCAGGACACAAAGAAGATGCTGCAAGAACAGCCTCCAAAGAAAAGGAACGGGGGAAGCACTGTTAGGCTATTCGGGACGAACAGCCTTAAGGAGGGAGCAGTGTGACATGTTGCACAACCAAGGACCCCTACCTCCCCAGCAGCACGTGACGGTAACGTAGCGCTCTCGTAATAGGCGAGTCATCACCCCGCCACTCTCCCCACGGTGACGTAATGCGCAACGCATGGTGTCGTGCTGAGCGGAGCCAAAGAGAGCCGAGTCCCAGCGCGCTGGTCGCTAGGCAACGCGGATAAACAGTGATGCCTACCACGTGGTTGTTTTCTCGTTGCCCTGCTGAGGGTTTATAAGGGACCTACACAGCCGCCGACGACAGTTCTCAGTTCGCAAGTTACGAGTTACAGACGCATGTGCGATAACTAAGAAGTCAGTGAGCGGAAGACTTATTGTGTGCTTTCGAGACTTAGTGAGTGCTGTAGTACAGTTATATTTGGAGTGTGTAATTCAGGGAGACTTGTATAGCTCCCGCGTTATCAATACGTGAAGACTCCTGAAGATAGTGTGAACAGATTTGGTTATAGGGTTATAAAGTGTAAAACCCCGCAAGATTGTTATAATTAATTGTAGCCGTTACTTGTAGGTTGTTGAATAAACCAGTTAACAATCCGAACGGCGTCTTCAGTAACGAAACACGTTACAGTATATTACAAATTTTTGTTCCAAATTACCTCCCTAAGTGGCGTAAAACTTTGTGAATCTCCCTGTATGTTTCAGCTTTTAAAGCCATCATCAGGCATACACATAGTTATTACACTCGCAAACTACTGAACTGCATTACAATATGATGGTTCAATAGTGCTGGATACTTGACAAATATGTTACACTATAATAATACAAAGTACAAAAATACAGTAAAATTATAAAATTATTATAATAATGATAGTTATGCAATAAAAAATATGGTTCAAAACTATTCCTGTAATAATTCATATTATGTTCATGTATTTCAGATTTCATAATATGAAATACATGAACAGAAAATGTAGGACTTGGGAATTACCTGCCAACATACACTGTATGCTGCTTATTCTTTTAATGGCTCACAGACTGTCTAAAACTCTGCATGGGCAATGATTTTGATCAGTGGGGTGGGCACTGGCATACACTTTCATATTACTGACATACTCGTATTCTGTTTTGGTTTCACACAATCCAAATACAAGGTGGTTCAAATATGACTGGGACTGATTTTCTTTTTTAAACCATCATTGCCAAACACTTACTTGCACATGTCAGTCTTCAATATACTCCCCTCTGGAGTCAACACATTTTTTCCAACGTTCTGGAAGCATCCTGATACCCTTTTCAAAAAAGGCTTGTGGTTGAAGGCATATCCACTCCTGAACAGTCTGAATGACGGTGTTGTCCACAAACCGCATATCATGCAAGTCTGATTTGAGCCTTCTGCACAGGTAGAAATCATGTGGGGCCAAATCATGACTGTACGGCAGATGTGTCAGAAGTTTCCATTTCAATTTCCAGAAGGTTTCCATTGTTGTTTTGGCTATATGGGGGCGTGAATTGTCTTGAAGGAAGGCTACCTGCTTTCCACCTCTGTTCAACTTGGATCGGATCTTTTCCTTCACGTCTGTTGCCAGAAGGTCTGAGTAATAAGCTGCATTGACTGTTCTGGCATGTCAGAAAGTCTACATGGATAACCCCTGCCAGTCCCAGAAGAACGTTACCATCACTTTTCCTGCCAAATGGCTCCTCTGCGCTCTCTTGGGTTTGGGAGAACTGGTATGCTGCCACTTGCATGATGACTGCTGGGACTCGGGAATGAAGTAGTGCACTCATGTTTCATCGGTGGTCACTACAGATTTAAAAAATGCATCACCTTCGTCTTCAAACTGCTGTAGGAGATGACTGGCAGCTTCCATGCGCACCATTTTGTTCATGTCCGTCAAAGTGCATGGTACCCACCGTGCATTCACCTTGCGATAGTGCAGGTGGTATTTCACGATGTCTTCTATACTACCAACACTGATGGACAGCATTGCTCCAAGTTCCTTGATAGTGATGCGCCTATTCTCATGAATAAGTGCGTCTGCACAATCAATGCTTGGCTTGGTGATGGATGTTTGCGGNAGAGGGAGGGTGGAGGTTGTGGCTTCACTCTCTTAAGGTTGCACAGCTGCTGCGCAGTGCGGCTTGTTTACACACAAATCAGTCCCGGTCATATTTGAACCACCCTGTATTTTCATTCTATTTTTATTTGGCTTCCCTTTCATATATATCGAGAAGTATATGCATCCTCAAGATGCATTAGTTGCAAGCAATTCATCTGCAGTGTACACAGTTTGAAATTTTGTGGCAAGACTACTTAGAAAGGGCTATACTTTGTAGAGGGGATCATATCCTGATTGATTCTTCAGTACAGGTGTTTTATTTCCGTTCAGATATAGCACTGAAAGGAAGGCAACAATCTTTCTATATGGTAACTGATGTTATGTAACTGGTATGCATTATGAGCTTCATCCCGAAGTAGCCCCACATGTATATGTATGCTCACATGCACAAATAATACTTCTACAACATAATGTAACAAATTTCATCAACACGTTGAAATGTAATAGCTCTGTAAATATGGTCAACGTGCAACAATGGAAGATATCTCAGTGGACGAATGTTACTGCTCGTTGCTAGGCAACAGTGCACCAATGAAGACACTGGCTAGGATTCATGTGATTTATTCTCTGTGTGGTATGCCTTATGTAACAACAGAACTAAGTTTTCTGAGCATGGTCTGTGCAGAGTGCTCATAAGAGAAGTGGATTCAGATACAAAGTAAGTTCAGGGCAGTTACAAGCGAATAATAGTGGCACAAGCATGCAAACAAGCAAGCAAGCAGTGAGACAATGAATGGGAACTAGGAGTACAGAAAAGTACAAGAGATCAGCCTGTGAAGACTTCATGTGTGTTATAGTGCAGTGGTATTGGGAGTGTGTGATTAAGGTAGACTTTTATAGTTCCTGTGTTTCTGTAAAGACTAGTGGAGGCAGACTGAGAAGATTAGAGTGGAGTGATCATAAATTGTGTAAATCAGCAAGAGTGTAATAATTATTTGTAGTTAAGACCTGTAGGTTGTCAATAAATCCAATTACCAATCCAAACCCACGTCTTAGTCATCTAATCATGTGACAATATTTTCACTGTGTGAATCCATTCTTTACATTAACTTGGAGCAATTTAACTCACCTTGAACAGATCTCACAGAGCTCAATCTGACGCCCAAACATTCAAGGAAATGAGGGTCACAACCACCCACACACCCAGTATAATGGTCAGGGTAATATGGAACCAAAGAGCCACGCCGGAACTTAAATTTCAGTTTCTGTACATGTGGTCCACACTGAAATACGATTCACACTACTGTACTTAACTAGTTAGCTGTCTTACATGGTAGTAAGAATGTCTATTTAAACTAATATTTACAGACATAAAAATTCATTCATGTGCTGCAGATTCTAAAAATAATCACACATACACATAAATCCATCTGGGAATAATAAAATATCATTTTCCTCAATAAGTTTTTATATACATGATGAAATTCAGGGAAAATAAAACCAGAACATCCCAATGTATTTGGATGAAAACAACATTCTGGAAATCAAATCTACTTCTATTCTCAGATGAAAGAGTCAGGGGACATCTACTCAACTGGGTCTGTTAGAGGGTGCTAATTCCAATTCCTGAATCCATGACTGACAATGTCTCTATCTAATGGACCCAATTAAGTAAGTGCCTTCCCATCTTCTCACCTGAAGATGGAAACAGAGTAAAGTACAGCCACAACAGGACAGGTATGGCTTATAACAAGAAAGAAAAATTGGTACTGTGATTTTCTTAAAGTTACATAATCAGAAAAGTCTTATATAAAACAAGGGAATTTTTTGGCACTTTTGTCACTGTAGGTTTGTGTCCTAAGCTACTGTGACATGTCTAACCGTTGCTGGGAAATGAGTGACCATGAAGACAGACCCTTGATAAACAGTTGGTTTCCATGTTACACAAAGGTGGAAACGCAGAGTTCATGTGACCCCTACTTCCTGTTGCGCCATCCATGTCACACTATTTATAGCTTTCAGCCTGAAAAGACACAGTTTAAACAAACCTCGCCTTGCGCCTGTCTTGTTTAGGAGTGAAAATCTGCATTCCAAGATCTGATAATCATATGCCTGACTAGTGAATTCACACAAACCTGTAGCTCAGCACACAAACATAGACCTGTTCTAATTCATGATCAATGAACACCAGATAGTAATTGTGAGGACAAGGGGTTATATAAGCACAAGAAAATCTTTTAACTCTTCAGTTCAAATAATGCTAAAGATGTCTAGAATGCTGAATTATTCTTTGTTATTACCTGCTGACAGCATAAAATATATTTTAATTATCTCGAAAAGTGTATGATTTGTATGAAAAACGTGTTGGGCACAAAGTGTGACCTTCATTTCTATCTACAACTTTTGTACAAAAGGATTTTTGCTCTGATAAATAGGTTGCAAGTTATATGCATGTTATGAATAAGATGCATGCAGTAACACAGTTTGGTCTTCATATAAAGTGGCTGTTATTGCATTCCAATGTTAACCAGAATCGGCATGTTTTAACAAACTTTGGTAAAACTCCAAAAAAACATATTTCATGAAAATTCATCTGGAAATTTTTACATGGAGACAGATGGATGGGTAAACATGGTGAAACTGGGATGTGCATTTTTGCAACTTTTCACGGTGAAAACACACAACAAAATACTGCAACAACTACATTATTTTTTTAAATCTTTGCACAATACACATAATGTACATCAATCATTTTTGGATATTGCAGGTACTCACTAAAAGAGGCACTTTTACAAATTTCATAATTCTCATTACCTCAAAGGTACACTTCTAAACCATGGACGAAGCTTACACAGGAAAAGCACCCTATTTACATAGATCATATATTGAGCAAGTTCAATAATGTTCAGAAATTCATAACGTGTTAAGATTACTTCAGCCACTGTCAGCAGATCAGACTATATAGTAGCAGAAGTTAGGGTGATTACTGAATAATGAACTGGAAAATATTTGGGAGAAAGCAGCCATGGCATAATTTGAGGCATTATCTCAGTTCAAGATGAAATGGGAACAGCAGATAAATGATAGGCCTATCACATCCACAACTGACGCTGAAGTTTCAAAGTTGGTGCTAAAATCTACTGGCTATGTGAAACTTAGAATAACAGCTCCAGTCTCTATACAAGATGATGGTGGAAGCTGACATCGTATGTTATTCTAGGGGGTGGGGCTATGCAAGTGAAACTACTCAGTGGCATCATATTCAAAAACTGCCCATTAAGTCTGGCAGGGAACATAAACTGATGGATTGCTTAGGAGAGAATAAAGTGAAGAAAATCAACCGTCCGTGAGTTCAGGAAGCATTGTATATGGAACAGCAAGGATGAACAGAAGATAGCATTCTGTGGGAAGAAGTGGCAATGCTGACAACTCCCTGAATTTAGTTTCTCCACAATATTCTGTACAATTATTAATAAAATGCATTAATGTTAGCACAACAGTAATCATATTCAGTTTTGAATATAACTGTGCTTATTCAACTCCAGATGCAAACCAGCAGTGAAATGGAAACTTAGCCAGTTCTAGTACTGAAATAATCTTCTGAAAATTTAAAATTTTAAGAGGTGGTTCTCTTATGTTTGGGTAAACACACTGTGTCTGAAAAATAAGTGCGATTTTGGGAGGCTCTACCTTTAAGTACAAAATAGGCATTATACATGGTGTGTTCAAAAAGTATCGAACCTTCTTTTTTCCCGCGTAAACCAATCAAGCGCGGGAGGCTCCTTTTGATGGAGATGTGGAGGGGACATTCATGCAGTCGTAAATTTTTTCCTGCCCGCAGAAAGCGTCAGTCGCTGGCAGTCAGCCTATGAGTGAGGATGTGTAGTGAGCGCTCGTCGGATTCCAGTAAGGTGTAAAATGACGGAACATCAGGAGCAGCGATATTGCATCAAATTTTGCCAAAATCTTGGCGATACCCAAGTGGAAACCATTCGTAAGATTCAACAGGATTTCGGGGACGATGCCATGAGCAACTCACGGATAAAGGAGTGGTACAACCACTTCAAAGATGGCCGCACATCAGTGGACAGCGAACCGCGTTCAGGCAGACCCTCAAGAAGCTGAAATGAGAATGTCATTGAGCAAGTGCGGACTCTGGTCATGGAGGACCGTCGTATCACAGTCCGAGAACTTGCAAATAAGATAGGGGTAAGCATTGGATTGGTACACTCAATTTTGACTGCGGATTTGGGCATGAGGAGAGTGTCCGTGAAATTTGTACTGAAACTGCTAACACTGGAGCAGAAGCAACGCCGTCTGGAAATCACACAGGACATGCTGGACAATGCAAACAGTAACCCCAATTTTCTGAACACCGTTATCACAGGCGATGAGTCGTGGGTTTATGGGTATGACCCAGAAACCAAGATACAGTCGTCACAGTGGAAACATCAGACAACCCCAAGGCCAAACAAAGCATGGTAGGTCTGCAGCAATGTCAAGGTCATGTTGGCCATTTTCTTCGACTCCCGTGGGGTTGTGCATTATGAGTACGCACCACAAGGCCAAACCATCACAAAGGAATACTACCAGGCGGTCCTTCGTCGCCTTCATGATGCTGTGCAGTGCAAACGACCGGATCTGTGGGCAGCAAAAACTTGGCAGCTCCATCATGATAACAAACCCGCCCATTCTGCGCATCTGATTCAGACTTTCGTCACCAAATACAACATCCTTGTGGCCTGTCAGGCTTCCTACTCCCCTGACATGGCTCCGTGACTTTTGGGTATTTCCCAAGCTGAAAATGCCGCTGAAAGGATCCTGCTTTGAGTCAAGAGAAGATATCATGCGGAATGCGAAGGCCCGGCTGATCACCATTCCAAAAGACACGTTCCAGAAGTGTTTCCAACAATGGCGGAAGTGCTGGGAGAAGTGTGGGTATTACCAAGGCAACTACTTTGAAGGGGATTAGGGTTTTGTACCTCCAAATCAATAAATGTATTTCTGCCGACCAAAGGTTCAATACTTTTTGAACATACCACGTATTCAGTGTTGTACCTTTACAGTCTTCCACTAAAACTGTTTCACGAGCAGCCATCAGCAAGATGGTGCACTGCCACATTTTTCAAGATGTTCTTATTGCAACATTTCCTTAAGGATGGTAGATGGATTGGTTGAATTCCGTGACAAACCTAGAAGCCCTGACTTATGTAAAAGGAAGAAGAAGAAAAGCCACTGAGCAAGAAATAAGAGATATGATACAGAATGTATGGCAAGAACTGGAATATTAATTGTATGTACATCAGGTAATGAGCAGTGCACATGAGAAAACTTGCTAACTATGTTCAAAATTATCTGAGGCATATTTTAAAATAAAATATTAATTTCTTGAATATGTTCCTCATTTTTCTAAATATCGGTTCTCAAAATCCTACCACTGTTTCCTACATCCTGTACAGTTTGCTACAATTGGTAGAAAAAACACACAGATTTCAGATCTGCTGTAGTCCTGTATTATAAATATGAAAAAAAGGCCACTTCAACGTGAAGGTGAACACTAGTCTTTACCCATAAATGAAAATACAAGTCTGCCAACATTATTTCTGCTATACAATGTTACCGTGGCAAGGAAATCACAACAAAGAAATATTTTAAGAATTCTACCAATGGAATTGTTCTCTCCATCGATTGTGTGAAAGAAATTACTTATGAATCATATACCTCACTGCAGGACTCGCCACTGAGCTCCACATCTTCAACAATGCCTAGGAACCAAACGGCATTCCGGCAGTTTGGGTATCCCATGCAAGTGATGAACTTTCCCATGCCTTCTCGCCTGTTCCGCAGAATCATGTCCATTCCACAAGAAGGACACTTGAGCACAGTTTGATTGACAGCTTGTTCTTCAGTCTGAATTGGTGGAACTTCTTGGGCTGTTTCTTGCAAATAGCGACCTAAGGCCTCATCAATTTTCTCTGCCTGCAAAAACATTAGTAAGACAAGTATCAGTGCTTCTTCTTCAAGCAAAACAAGACTGAAAAGACATATTCCAGTTTGGAGTAAGAAGTCTTCCTATATGTGCAATGCATTCCTTACAGCTCCTGAAGTTTATTTATTGCAAATAAAAACCAACCATTGAAAAAAATCAGCAGCAGCAGAGATAGTACACTGCAGTTGTTCATTCAGAATTTTATTTTGTGGGCTGGTATGATTTAAAAGACAATTAACAAATGCATTTTATCATATAACTTCAGAAATCAAGGTTGAAATGAAGACTGGAGAGAGTAAGATGTGCTAGCCATCTCATGAAATATGTTTAATTTTTTAGTCTTTTTCTTTTCCATTTATAATGCAACAAATTGATAATATTATTTAACACTTAATTCATGCAATGATCTACAACTTCTTTATTAAAACCGTCACAACACAACTATATCAAGATCAGTGCCTAGTTTTGGCTCTGCTACATGTTTCGGCTATTAATAGCCATCATCAGGCAAATACATGGCTAACATATTGTAACGTGTTTTGCCACTGAAGATGCTGTTCAGACTGTTAATTGGTTTATTTAACAACCTATAAGTCATAGCTACAATTAATTATAACACTGTTGAGGGTTTACATAATTTACAACCCTACACAATAATCTAGTCACTCTGTCTTCACTTATTCACAGTACAATACGGAGCTATACCAGGGTAACTGTATTTCACACTCCCAATACCTTCTCACACTATCACTTCTAATCACACATTCCTGTATTCTTCTTCCCGCGTTGATGATTCCCTCGCCACAACTGAACTCAGCAACTGTTACAATTCAACTGTTTTAGGCGGCTGCTATATTCAAACTGACTCCTTAGGCAGTGTAGTTCTCTTATAAACCCTCAGCCGGACAACGGGAAAACGCCTCGCTTACTTGTTGCCTAGTCATGTTTACCGACTGCCTAGCAATAGTCGTTGCACAGGCTCGCCTGTTGTGTGACGTCACAGCCTTGCGGGGAAGGGTGTTTACCGAGCGTTGCGTAATGATAGGAGTGGGGGTATGTGACGTCACTAGTGGAAATGCAGAGTTCACGTGACCCCTACTTCATGTTGCGCCATCCATGTCACACTGCTCCCTTCTTAAGGCTGTTGTTGACGCTTCCTGATTTGGAATGGTGTACACTTCTGGCCACTTGGTAAAGTAAAGTAAAATAATCCATAGTGATCAGTAGGTATCGGTTTCCTTGGTTGCTTTGTGGGAAGGGCCCTACGATATCAATAGCTATTTTCTCGGAGGGAGCCCTGACATTTTACTGGTGCATTTGCTCATGATTCCTGGTCCACGGTCCCGGCTGGCTGCACATGTCGCATTGTCGACACCATTTCTCAATATTGGCTCTTGCTTGGCTCCAGTAGAATCTTTGCCGAACCTTACTCAGGGTTTTGTTAACACCCAAGTGACCTCCTGATGGTCCACCATGTAGTTCGCTCAGAACGTCCTTCACCCTGCTCCGAGGAATAATTATCTGGGCTACTTGATATCTTCTGTTAGCGGATTCCCAGTTGCGCTCTAGTATGCCGTTTCTCACAGCAAGCGATTTTCATTGGGCCCAGTAGCTTTTGTACATGGGACTCCGATCCGCGATATCTTGCCATTCCGGTCATTGTCTGGTTTCTATTTCCTGTAGAATAAGCCCTATGTCTGGGTCATTTAGCTGTTCCTCTCTTAGGGTAATCGGGTCCCAACCGGCTGCCAGTATGGTTCCAATAGTGCGTATTTGCTTTACATCTGCCTGTGTCTCAACTTTGTGGCAGTGCGCACATTGCTCTTGGCAGGATCGTCTAGAAAGGGCGTTGGTGTTATGTTTCCGGCCTTGACGATGCTCACAAGTAAAGTTGTACTCTTGTAGGCGCTGTATCCAACACGCAGTTTGTCCTTCTAAGTTCTTGAAACTCATGAGCCAGGTAAGTGCAGAGTGGTCCTTGCGCAGATGGAACTGTTGTCCATATAGGTGCTTGTGGAAATGTTCCAGCGTCCTCACTATGGCAAGTAGTTCTCGTCGGGTGACACAGTAGTTTCTCTCTGCTTTGTTTAGCGTCTTGCTTTATTTCAACTAACTTTGGTGGCGGCCACATTTTAACTGACTTCTGAGGCAGTGTAGTTCTCTTATAAACTCTCAGCAGGACAACGGGAAAACGCCTCGCTTCCTTGTTGCCAAGTTGTGTTCACCGAATGCCTAGCAACAGTCCTTGCATGGGCTCGCCTCTTGCGTGACATCACAGCCTCATGGGGAAGGGTGTTTACCAAGTGTTGCATAATGATAGAAGTGGGAGTATGTGATGTCACTCGTGGAAACGCAGAGTTCAGGTGACCCCTACTTCCTGTTGTGCCATCCACGTAACAATATATACACCACTGAACTGCAGTACTAGTAAAATTGAGTACATTATTATTAATTATATAAAATACTTGATGTAAAAATACAATAAATAAAACAAAAGTTATAGTATAAAATAAGAATACAATTCTTCGATTGATGCTTTACTTCATCGAGTCAGTTGTTGGTTTTTGTAATTTTGTGGCGTTCCCACGGACAAACTGGAGTTTTCTATATTTTGAGTATATATAAAAAATGTATTGGAGGCTTGTGATGTAGATGTAGTAATATTAATGTTAATTATTTAGTCGGTGCCTCATCTTACAAAGTATTGTCTGTTCTGTAGGGAATGTAAACAACAGGATGCATGAAATGAAATTCATACAATAATCGTTAAATGTATAAAATGTTATTAAAATTATTAAAATATATATAAATTTGTTGTAATGCTGATACATGTTTTGGCCTTATAAGGCCATCTTCAGGCAACACTTATTTAAGGATTCTAATTCACTGTATGCTAATCATATAGTATTCCCAAGATATGTCGTTGATATTTCTTCATATCTATTTGATCTTTCTGAATTGCGGCTGTTTCTGTCACATTAGATGTGTTGTTTTACACTGTGCGTATCAAGCGTTGCTGTGTGTTCCTTGTATGTTTCAGCTAACATCAGTTAAAAACAATTCAACCTAGACAAATATTATGGCCACTGTCAATTACTTTATAAGGAATAGCGAAGTAATACTCAATTGAAAGGAACAAATGACAATTACAGTCACAGTATGCCTCAAGACATTATGTATGTTCATTATTATGAAAGGAGTTACTGGGTTTGAGGAGAAAAAATACTGAATTGTCCAGGATGACAAGATCAGGGACTCTCATATCTGCACTTGAACAACATTTATTTATTAACTATTGACTTAAACACTTCATTTCATGCTAGACTTCAGCACAAGTTGTGTTCTGGAGAAGATATATTTTACAAACTAGAGGAAAATTACACTTCAATGGATACATAAACATGGGACATATAATGCAGATCCTCAGCATACAGAAAACAACCCTTTACTTGGGATCTGGTAGTACAGGGGTGAAGAACTGGACTCCCATTCAGACAAAAACAGGTTTAATTCCTGGTAAGATAGAAATGCAAAATTTTCTGAACACAAACTGAAGTTTCCACTCTTACCAAAGTGAAGACTTTGGGAATGTTGAGAATACAGAACCCATCATGAATCGAAGCCCATAGGTTCAATGTGCAACTTACTGTTCTCATTAACATAATGTTAATCCACAGCTGAATCTTCATATGGATCTTCACACCTCCAAATGGATTCATATTACTTGAAAAAGAAGGGCCAGGAAGTCAGTAAGAACATAAATGGAGGCATTTCCTGCAACACCACCATACTCTACCTGTTGCAAAGCCATTCGGAATACTTCTTTGTACTTGGCAAGTTGCTCTGCAAGAACAAGTTTTGGATCCTTGACTCCATCACAGATCCTCTTGAGATCAGCTTCAAGCTCAGCCCGCAGATTTGGTTTAGACATGGGAAAGCCCATGCTGTCATAGCCCTCCACTAAACCCATTCCCAGCTCACCAGGAACAAAATGAGAGCCATCTTGTAACCCCACGTACATACGACTTTTAATGGTTTCGATATGTTCAGCATGGGTAGCATCCGTTCCTGCCAATTACAGCTTCATATTATATCTTCATCATCTTGATACAAATCAAGAAGAAGGAGGAGGAGGAATTACCAAAATCTCTAAAAATGTTAGATGTCAGTTTCTCAAGCATAACATTCTGGAAGAAAACACTCTTCACTAACAATGTTAGTTTTGAAGATTACTCTCTCACGGATTGTGACATCCTAGACTGTCAACAATGTTTTGGAGAAACCTGCTGTCACCATGCTTAGGGTAAAGGCTGAAAATGGAGGCAGGAAGTACCTCCAAAGCCCTGGTAATGGCGTCACACCCCAGGAGGCAGTAACTGTCACAGTTACTGCTGTGAGAACCTCACATCTCATTTAATGAACTTTAATTTTAGTATCAACTCTGACATGTCTGTGCTCTTGTGAAAACATAAGAACAAAACAATAGGCTTCTAAAATTGTGATGCTAAGAATACACACTTTCAGTTCAGCAAGAAAATTCGTATAAAGGAAAAGCATAATGTATGCAATAAAACTGTGACAAGTACATAGAACTAGTCTTAAATTTTTACGTCTTAAGTTATCATATGTGTCTCATAACAATGAAATTCATATCAATAGTAAAACATAAGAGGTATGTTAAGTTCTGAGGCTTTCATGGTGGCGACTGTTCAGATGGAGGGCTTCTGGGTTGTGACAATGTTGGTATCTGTCTACAAGACCACATGGTGTCACATACCAGAGACCCACATGTGAACACTGAGATATAATTTAAAGTACAGCAACTGAAAGAATTATATATATATATATATACACACACATAACAGGAATAGCAGTCTCTACCATCCTGCATGGTTATGAAATGTGAATAACACAAAGTGAACTAAAGATTTAACTTGTCTCATTTTGGTCCATCACACTATTAATTACAGAGTAGATAATGAAAAGTTCAGTCCAGTGTGACATACGAGTTTACAACACTTCAGTCCTCATTCGCCTTACATGTTTCGATTCAAAAGAATCATCCTCAGAGGCGCACCACTACGATAAGGAAACACTGTCATATAAGATATTTTAACAATATGCACTTTAGATATGACTAATGCTCTCTATATAAATTTTGTTATCACGGTTGATTTTGATGTTTATCTTAGGCACTCACAATGGCACTTCTTGAAGTGTAGATTTACTTATGATGAGTTTCTTTTAGTGTATTTCCCGGTTATTCTGACTGGGGTTTTTCACTGCACGCAATATGGTGTTCACTTTTCCATACTGTAGCCTCCCAATGTATTTAAAATTGTATTAAAATTTCCATGTAAACAATTAGTTATTATATTAAAATATCTTGAGCTGACATTGGGTCATGTTGTTTTCTTCCTGATGGTGGGAGATGTCGTTTATTTCTCTTGGTATTATGTTCTTATTATTAGTAGTGTAGTTCACGTGCGTGCTGTGTTGTGTGTACACATATCTTATGTGAGTGTTTCCTTATCATAGTGGTGCGCCTCTGAAGATGATTCTTTTGAATCGAAACATGTAAGGCGAATGAGGACTGAAGTATTGTAAACTCGTATGTCACACTGGACTGAACTTTTCATTATCTACTCTGTGAACTAAAGAATTCATTTTTCTGAGTGACTTGAGTGATATTCCTGAACAGACACCAAATAATACAAGAAACAAACAAAAAATCTGTAAATATGAAAAAGGAACATAATGCACCATCAAATTAGCCATACTTAAAAAGGCAAAATGAAAGACAAAACATAAACATTAAAATATATATAAGAAAAATTAGAAAGTTAGAGATGCAACCTTGAAGCTGTTACTGAAGAAATTTTGCAATTTAAATAAGACGTGCTCAAGCTGTTTAATTTCTTAACACACACAATATTTGATTACCTGTTGGTTCTACCATCTTCTACAAACCCTAGCCCCTTTAAGACATATGCCCATTCTTCCCTGCAATTTACCTTTTGTCTTCATCTCTTCATTTTCAGCTTCATTAATCAGCAATACCCATAATGACTATGCCAAGCTACCATACAACATTCATGTCTGTAATTTTATTTTCAAAGTAACATCAGTGAGCATCACATACAGGCATGAAAGCATATTCAGTTGCTACAAACCATACCAATGCCATGTTTCTCCATTAGAGCAATGAGATCTGCTTCAGTCAGTAAATGGGGTGCAGCTGTCTCTCCATCTGTCATCTCAATACTTGTTGGCTCAAATGTCTGTCCAGATTCATATATATGAATCTCCTTAGCATTCCATTTCTCATATGGGTATACTTCCAAATAGTTACGTGCAATAATCATCAAACCATTTGCTACGAACTATGAAAGGAAAACACAAATAATAACAGTTTTACATTTAACTTAACTTTATACTGAAGGGTAAGGTAGAGGTAAAATTGTCCCTGTACTTAATTAATTGAGCAACATGTCATGAAGACATATGAGGGAGTGGCGGTATAGCTCCACCATTCTTGACCTTGGCACTAGATGGAGGTGAATGGTTAGATTCATGCCCACCTGCTTTATCCCTAGGGGATGAGCCACTGGTACCCACTGCAATTGAGGGTAAGTGGGCCCCAGAACCAGATTGGACACTGCAAAATTGAGAAAAAAACCTTCACCCTGGCAATCTAGCACTTAGCCCATCACTATACCAACTGAGCTATCTCAGCTGCTTGATGCAAAAAGGATGCCTGACTTTTAAAAATTTGCAGGACACAAGAAGTGAACTGTTTAAGAAAATCTGTGTCAAAACTATATTCACAAATTCAGATTGAGGTCTCCTGCATTATGGCACTTTACGGTCTTGTAGGCAGATACTGAAGTTTGAGAGGAACATTTTACTTTCACCTTCAGGGCTGAAGTTTAGAGATTCAGCAGCTGGTTGGTATATAGGTGGCAGGTTACAAGGAAGGCAGTCACGAGACCAAAGGAGAGGGGATAAAGGAAGGAACCTGATTCAGGCTAACTGGAAAGATGCATAGTAGAATGACCCTTTCAAGAGACACACTAGCTTTTCTTCAAAATTGGGACACAGAATACTGAGCAATAACAACCCTTTCCAAAGATCCAATGTTATTTTCAGAAGGAAAAGTGGAATTGTGAGAAAAATGTAAGGAAGATACCCCTTTTCAGGGATCCTGTAAGTTATGAAAGAAGAAATAGGATGAGATGATAATGATGATAATAATATGCAATATATTTACAACTGAAAACAATAAAAACATGTTTCCTGGCACGTGGTAGTGTAGTTGGTTGAGGGGCTATGCTAAAAGCTGGGAGGTCGCGGGTTCAAGTCCTGATTAGGTCACTGGATTTTTTAAATTGACATAATCCTTCCAGTTGCACTATGGCCCTGGGGTTGACTCAGCCTCTAACAGACATGAGTACCAGGAATTAATTAAATCATTTTCCTGGGGAGTAAATCATGGCCAGCGCCTAAGGCTGACAACCTTACCGCCAATTTTGAGCTGATGGTCTAGATAATGTGGGACCCTCAACATCTCACAACCCTATGGGCCTTCACGGCCCGGCACAGGGATAGTTTTTTTTTTAACTATTAGGACTCAACTGTATGATCACCCGAATAGATTCCACCAGGCGGGCTCATTAACTACATTTCCTTACAACATCAAAACACCACAGAGCATTCATTTTCAACCAGGAACATTTCAGCCACTTAGGACATCAGTGGTGTTTCCTGAATGTTAGCCACTCAGATTTGCATTAAACGTACCATATAATTCACACCAAAATCTGGATCTCTTTCCATTATCTAAGAAACTAAAATAAAATGTCTTAAAACTATAGAAATATTAAATTTCTGCAAAAATTTAAAATTGTCAAATTTTCCTGTCAGATTTTCAATGGACATTTCACTGGTATACTCTGATACTGCAGTAAATTCACATATTTTCTTAATTTTATATTTTTCAAAGCATGTGGGACATGACTAATTCAATGGTGTGGGGTATTCAAGTAAATATGGAATTACACTATCTCCAAGCAGACACCTATGGGAAAAGTTACCACTAGGTCAAATAATTCCTCAGCTTTCATGAAACCCAAAAATTCATTATCATATACAGCCTACCAATGGTATTCAGATAGACAGACAAACCCAACCCACATACTTATACCTCTTTAAGAACCAATTTCACATGACAATAAACTCGCTGTTATAGCAAGTGTCATGTAACTTCGAACAAGGCCAAGAGTAACCTTCAATGCGCAGAAGAAAAATTTCGGACAAGGGGGTGGAGGATGTGAGAAGTGAGAGGTGGCCAGTGGAACAGCGAGTGTTAAGAAACTCCTCCCACCACAAGCTAATGCGCGGGATTTAACTAGGAATGCGGGGCCTTGTTTGAAGTTGCGTGACACTGTCTATATCAAGCATGTATGGGAAATGTGGTCTGTTGATTACATAAATCTTTAGGTTGCAACATAAAACCTCTGACAGAGACCGAATGTGAAGTCAAAAAAAAAGTTTTCACTTTAGTTCTCGCATGGGACTCTTCCTTGGTGACACAGTAAATGGGTGGGTGATATATTTCACGCACACGCGCGCACACACACACATATATACAGGCACACGATCACAGAGTCAACTAGATTTTACTGTGATGGCACCTATGTAAGGGAGGATGTCATGTAGTGCTGCTAGTGGCAGGTGAACATATGTGCATTGCAAATCTGTTTTTGGGTAAGATTATAAAAATGGCAAATTTTCTTTGAAATATTTGTTGGTTGGATGAAAATTACAGAAGTTTGGATACCACATAATCAGGAGTTTACCACATCACTATATAATACTTACTAGCAACTTTGCTGAAACTTGAAATAAGATATGGTAGTTAGTAAACAACCTTACAAGAAATACTGGGGATCCTTGACTGGACTCAGGCAAGCAAAGGTACTCATACGAGGACCCTCTGCTAAAAGAGCGGAGGAACTGTTAAAGTTAAACAGGAACCAGCTATGATGGGTGGTGGGCCTACCTTACAGGACACTGTCACCTTAAAGAACACCTCTTCAAACTGGGACTAAGTAATAGTCCCACTTGTGAGAGGTGTCAAGAAGAAAATGAAACAGCCACACATATCCTGTGTGAAAGTGAGGCCTTAGCTTATTTAAGATTACGTCACTTGGGTCAATATTTTATGTAAGCAAGTGACTATTTCTATGCCCCCACATACAGAACCCTATGCTTCATTTGAAGTGCAGGATTGATGAGGGGATAATCAAAAGGGGAAGCACAACAGATCACTGTGGGTCATGGTGCAAGGGCCGAGAAGGCCCACCCCTTATACATTCATTCATTCATTCATTCACAGCAAACAACCTGTAAATACACAGATTTTTCACTTCATTCTTTCAATCAGTTATTCAGATTATTACATAAAATTTCACCTTTTCACCAGCAATATCTATATCAACAATCGTTTCCAGTCCTTCGGCATCTTTTGAACAGCATGCAAGAAAGTGTCGTGTCACAAATTCATACACTTCTTTCTCATTTCCTGAAACACAAGATATACTGTATTTATATAGGACAGCCTGTACATAAAGAACTACCACTACCACAACCTAAGTCTAAGAGAACTTTCAGACTACTGCAGGGAGATTATTCGGTCACTGTTCTGGAGCACTGACTTCCCACTAAATATGATCACTGCATGAATTGCAAACTTTCCTACATGGACAGCTGTGGTGGTATGACTGCAGCAATAATGAACTTACAGAACCTGTCTCAAACATTTCAGAATTAACTGTATCCACATAAAACACAGGACCACTGACGCTTCGCCAAATACCACCTTTTAAATGGAATTTTGTGTGCAAAACCTTGATTGCTTGTATGAAGAGCTACTGGAAAGTTCCCTGAATGTTATTGTTGTAACTGCCTTGGTGAAAGAAGATGAGAGGGGAGGCCAAGGTCACACTTCCGAAAGCCTATTGCATCAGTCTGCCACATGACACTGCACTTTGAACACCCACTGTTTTTACATGAGTGTTTTTTCGTCTTCATGTTTTATTTTGTCTGTGATGGTTGGCAAAATCAAGGAAAATGTCTGCATCAAGTATTGCGTGAAGCACCAGCAAAATGACAGAAAATGTTGAAAAAATTCGAGAACTCATCCATGAAGACTGCCACTGAACAAACCATGAGCTCACAGACATCGCTGGAATCATTTATGGAGTTTGCCAGGAGATCTTAAGAGAAAATCTGAACATGTGCCGCATTGCAGCGAAGTCCGTACCCCGACTCTTGAAAAATGATCAAAAGCAGTGGCACATAAATGTATGTCTTGAGCTACAAGAGAAGGCTAACGTGGACCCAATTTTTATCCCTAGGATCGCAACAGGTGACAAAAGTTGTATTTATGGTTATGATCAAGAAACAAAGCAACAATCGTCACAGTGGAAAAGCCTATATCACCAAAAGCAAAAAAGGTGCGGCAGGTCCAGAGTTCAACAAGCATGCTCATTGTTTGTTTTTTTTTCAATGTGATGGGGATTGCTCACCGTGAATTTGCTCCTGCTAACACTATGGTCAACTCTGACTTTTACTATGATGTTTTAAGATGCTTGAGAGAAAATGTGCGATGAGAAAGAAGCAATCACAACTGGCTCCTTCATCATGACAATGTGCCTACCTATACATCCCTGAAAACCACAGAGTTTGTGACTAAAACACGGTTATCGCACCCAATCCTCCATACTTGTTGGACATAGCCCCCTGTGATTTTGCTTTGTTTCCCAAATTGAAAATGAAACTGAAGGTATGATGTTTTGAAACAGTGTCTGATATCCAAAGGGGGGCACACAGTAGTGTAGTTGGTTGAGGCACTATGCTACAAGCTGGAAGGTCATGGGATCAAATCCTGATGAGGTGGATTTTTTCAATTGACCTAATCCTTCCAGCCGTAATATGGGCCTGGGGTCGACTCAGCCTCTAACAGAAATGAGTACCAGGAATATTCCTGGGGATAAAGGGCGGTGGACGCATAAGGCTGACAACCTTACCGCCATCTGTGAGCCGAATGTCTAGAAAATGTGGGAGCCTCAACATCTCACAACCCTGTGAACCTCCACAGTCTGTTACAGGGATACCTTTACTTTTTTTACTTTTTACTTACTGACATCCAAAGGGAATCACAAGCGATACTTGACACACTTCCACAGTGTTTTTCAAGCGTGGAAAAAACAATCGGGGTCACTGTATATGTTCCCAAGGGGATGGCAGCAAAAATTGGATAAATTAAGCCAGAATTCTTTTCTGACCTAGTTCAGGAACTTTCCGATAGAATGCTTTGTGCATTCACATGTCTATTCAAACAAAATCAGTCCTTTCCCAATAAAATTGTCATTTCAGGATCAAGCAGGTGATCAAGAGGTGAAAAACCTATCACAATGATGTTCTTCAGCTGGAATTCAACTACGCAACTTCTGAATTTAAGTCATACATCCAACTGCTTAGTTCATTCTGCATGCCAATCTTATGGTTTTTCAGTGAATGTCATCATATATGGAAAATATGTCAAAATACCAACCAAATAACCAGCAATGTGTCACAATATAAGGAAATAGGTGGTAAACCCAGACATAATGTTTCAACCCCCTATCACCTGTCAAGCCCTAAGGAGTGAGGCTTCTTTCACATTCTGGTTCAATAAAAAATCACATCCGGTCCCTGACACACCATCTAATTTCTCATCATCACATTATTCAAAACTGCAACCAACTTCAAAAAACTTCTCCTGGTCTTCCTTTGCACTACCATGTCTATTGGAAGGAGGCTAATAGTGATCACAGCTCTTTTGTTTTTCATAGCCAGAAAATCGGCAGTGTATAAAATCTTAAATCGCTTTCACTGACCAGTTACAGATAGTGGAACACGAACATACATGTAAGTGCTCATGCATACAAAATACTGAAGACATGCATATATGGAGACTCACTTTTAGTTACCTTGTAAAGATGTAGTATGCTTTGTAGGATGAATAGGTGGATGAGCTTGGTCTGACTTCTTGCCTGCTCTAGGATTCGGACCTTGCTGCAGGATACGACTTGCAAATTCTGTGGAACAATTAACTTGAAATATAAAATGTAATGATTCAGAATTTAGACATAGAATGTTACTAACCCTTCAGTGCCGTAGTCTGCGCATGGCACCCCAGCGTCTTCTGTCACATGTTGCCAAAGTCAGTCCATGGCATGCATAGTGCAGCGTTAAGTTTCAGCTCGTATTTTGAACTGTTGTTTTTCATGTAAAGTAATTCTTTTGGTATGAAATTAAAGAGGACATTTCAGGCTATCATTTCGTATATTCATCCCAGTTTGAACTTCCCGCGGTAGTTGTAATACATTTGAATTCTTTGAAAAAGTTTTCTACTTCATAGATACAAATCTATCTCCACCCTTAGGGGAATTCTAGCGATACTGTGTGCTCTCCTGCATGCTGATCAAATGAAAAGACGATTCTCTTTAGGCATATTCTGACCAGTGCTGCTTCTAGATTGGAATTTGTAACCATGAGAAAACACGTGGAGAATCTATGACTTTGAGATGTGATGCTAACTTTTAAGAAGTGTGTTATGACTGCTATGTAGCAAACAACAAACAGTTCACAATATGAACGATACTGTAATTCCCCTTTGTTCTATAACTATGCATCATGCTGTCTTGTTTTAGCAGTCAAGGCCAGCCGCAAGCAGCTAAGTGGCAACTTGTGTTGTGTCATGACCAGTGAAGTATATATTTACTTCAAACAGAATCAGATCAAAGTCTTATCAGATTTTGAATTTGACAATGAAAATGGATGTTTGTGCTTCTCTCAATTCTATGGTAAGTGACAAAATCGAGGAAAGCACAAACGTTCATTGGAAGAATATGCAAAGCTATATGGGACAAAAAGAACATTTCTGAATGTGATGATAGGTAGGAATAGCATAAGGATAGGAATAGATCAGTTGTCAATCAGAATTAAGTTAATTGAGGGACTCTGTGAAATATGATAATGCTGTAGAACACAAAGTGCTGGGTCAACATTCATCAGACAAAACAGTGCCCAGTCTAAGAGAAAGAAATTTTATAAGCAAGATTCCACCAACTGCGAAGAAATCGAAACCACATAAATTGTGTGTTGTGTTAAAAACTGTGTACTGGTGTAACACTTGTGACATGAGACTCTGTAGGGAATGTTTTCACAACTAACACACCCAGCTGAATTTGTAATATCATACTATTATTCCTAATTTTTATAGGATTACTGTGCCAAAAAATAATTTTAAAGCTGTGAGTATCAATAACTGCAAAGTAAGTCACCTCCCCAGTTAGGATCCTGTGCCTGCAACTCAATCAGGTTACGCAGGTTCAGCTCCTTTGGGAAAATGTTAGTTTCTGTACGAGGATAACTGATGAATCCCTGAGTGTATAATTTCTCTGCTATCCTCATTACTTCTTTGGCATTCATTTTCAGTTTTCTGGATCCAAGTTTCTCCATTTCCTACAACATATGGAAAAATAATCTTATATGCAATGTCAAACCGCCAGTAAAGCTTCTTTGGACAGCTGTGGATATGAACACTAAACTGACAAAAATCCTAAATGGAGGAAATCTAACATTGAAATTATTGACTCAGGATCATTGGAATTGAATGTTAAATGAGAGAACATTTACAGATTTCAGGAAGATTAAATGGCGGTTTCACTGTGTGTCTATGATGTTTCTGATGGGTTGACTGTATTATCTACTGCACATTTCTAGTACCTTCTGCTGAAAATGTACCAGTATAAACATATTACAGTATACATCTTACATAATATCAGCAGAACAGGTAGAGTACACAATGTCTTTTAATGTCCGATCTGTCTGTGAAGAACTCTTCAACATCTGCCTTTCGAATGTTGACAGTAACATCAATTAACACCATGATTTATTTTAACCGTCTTCCAGTGCATACACTCATCTATCTCCTCCTCTCACTCGCACTACATGTTTCGCACAAAAGTGCCATCTTCAGGTGCTTATTCAATTTACGCTAAACTAGTTCATTGCATGCCTTGTCTTCATCTTAAAATAACTAAAATATATATTTATCATATATATCATATATATTGATAAATGTTAAATGTTAAAAATATTAAAATTGTTCAGGAATTTTTTCTTCCCTACGTCGTATCTCACTACGCGAGTCACATCTATCCTCTTCTGTTGGAGCACTCTTTCACTATCGTGTATTATTGTGCTTTGTGTTGTTTCTTGCTCCTGTGACTGCGTGTGTNTTAACAGTATTACATAATGAAAACTATAAGATTATAATTTGAAAATAAACTTGAAATATAGCTTCTGTTCAAAGCTGCAACACAGTACAGAAAATGTATTACAGCCCACTGATTAAAAATAAAATGACTACCTTCACTAGTCTCACTGAAGCATGAGATACAAACAAAAAATATATATTACTGACCAGTTTTTAAGTTATATGAATTGTAGCTATAAAAACAGCAAGAGGCAGATGAATAAATAATCTTTAATGTATCACATACAGAATGTTTTAAATACATGTGACTGAAGTCTATAAAACACAATTACATTAATAATATACCACAGTATATGACACAAAAAATTAAAAAGGAATGTATTTAAATAAAAAACATCCTTTCTCTCGAAGAAAGACCAATGATATGTCTTCAATATCAGAGCTAAAATACTCAGGATCCAAAGGGTCTGGTATCTTGAACAGCACTCAGTTCATCAGTACTGCTTTGATCATAATGAACTATATGTTTCTAATATATGACACAAACTCCGTCCTAAGTGCAACAATTTACTGTAGTTCTTTTGTCTTCCTTTCTTCTACACTACATGTTTTGGCTGTAAATGGTCATCATCAGGTGTATACTCTCATGTAGCTGCTACAGTGTACATAGTATATATNGACGGACGAAAGGCTTCAGGAGCTTACAGAAAGAACTGGAAAAACACAAAGGGAACTGCAGTCAGTGGAAGTGTGCCTCTGCGCAAGGACAGATAAGCTCCAGGAAAACCTGACGAAAAACTTCAACGAAACCTGCGCAGCAATTGACGAAACCAAACGCGAGTTCCAGGCCCGGTTGGACATAGTGCAATTGAAGGCAGAGCGGGGAAATACGTCAACGATCGTCGCCAGCACGGCTCAGCCACCGACATTCAACGGGAATTCAACGTGGAGCGTGTTCTGGTGACAATTCGAGACCGTGGCCGAACACAACCAATGATTGGAGCGGGAAAAATCGACATACTTAATTACTGCCCTGAAGGGTCGGGCGGCGGAAATACTACCCGGCATTCCGACAAATACGACCTATGAGGAAACTCTTCAGGCTCTAGAGGACCGTTTCGGGGTCCAACACTTTGCAGCTGCCTACCGCTGCCAATTAAGAACAAGGACCCAGAAACCTGGGGAATCCCTGCAAGACTTTGCCACGGCCATTGAACTGCTTTCCCGTCGTGCCTACCCCAATCTACCTGAAGACCATATAGGAAGGGAGGCAGGAATAGCCTTCGTTTACGGAATACGAGATGCCGATATAAGGTTCCAGCTGCTGCTAGGAGGTGAAAAGACGGTAAACGAGGCCCTCCGACGAGCGGTAGAGCTGCAAGCGGTACTGATGGCAGCTAGACATCACGAAGGTAGCACCAAGACATACCGGAAGTACCGATTGTACGCCACCCAACGAGGAGACGGAAGACAATCAGGGTGCTGGAGTTGTGGAAAACTGGGCCACTTCGCGAATACCTGCCCCTACGAACAGGAAGGGTACCCAACCGACAGGAAACAAGCGACGGCCGGCGAAGGAGGGCGGACGCCGGCATATGCATTAAGGCCCCCACACTACCCACTCACCATCAAAAGGGTGAATGCCAATCATAATGAGATGACGGCCTGTCAAGAGATAGAGGCACGTCTACAAGAAGGAAAGCCAGCCTCAGTGGACACGAAACCTGCGGCGGCACAAGAGGAGGTCCCCACAGTGATACCGGTCAGAGTGACGATGGCCTGCCGAGAAACAGAGGCACGTCCAGAAGGAGAAAAGCCGGCCTCAGCGAACAGGAAACCTGAGGCGGCGGGCTTACGAGAGGTACCCATACAA